ATGAACAGAGAAGAAGACAGCAAATTCTGTGTGGCAGGCCCCAAATGGCCATTTTTGGTAAAGCAAGGAATGCACCCTCCAAAAAACAAAACAAAACAAAACAAAACAAAAACTAAACAACCCTGGGGTATGTGTAGTGGATGTTGGTTAATGCAGAAACTCAGAACTGTTCAAAGTGCAGAGAATAAACCACTGTGGAGTGATCAGCCACAAGGGATATCGATGCATATTTCCTTTCCCAGAACTCAGAGATCAATGGGGAAGAAGGTGTAGAAAGATTGCAGGAGGGAGAGGTGGGAAGGATGGGGTGACAGGTGTCGTCTAGAAATTATGTAACCTCTGCCCTCATGAACTCACAGGAGCTGTAGCTGACTTCACAAGACCAAGGCAGGCAGCATCCTAGTATGGAGAGGAAAGGGGCTCATGAACACTCAGCACCAATGAGGAGGCCATGGACTGTTGGTGGGTTCTTGGGGAAGGTGAGTCTGTTTTTCTTAAGAATGTGGGCCCTGGTAGACGACCATGTTGCAGAAGATGGCCATATACCCATGATGTGGACAGCCCAAAATGGAACTCTGTGGGTTATTTTAAAAAGGATACAAAGTTGGAATAGGTGGGGAGGGAGAGAGGGGCTCTGGGAAGAGTTATGAAGAGGAATAGGGGTGAATATGATCAAAATTCTATGTATGAAATTCTCAAAGAATTAATAAAATTATTATATTAAAAAATAACCTGGAACTCAGGTAGTTAACCTTAACATGAAATAAGTTGTAATTTGTCACTGAAATGGTTCTGCCAAAGGATTAAAGAAATGAATTTTATGAAATCATTTTTAATGGCAATGCTGGAAGTCCTTTTGTTATTGCAAACATTAATTAACTGCTATGTGACTCAGACTGGCTAAAGCTACAGAAAGCAACAATTTGCCACTGAAGATACTATCTCTAAGCAGGCTGATATCCGAGGCATTGGTTTATTTATGCATTCAGCTGTCCAGTATTTATTGAGTATCTACTATGTTCCTGGGAGCTGAAGAATCCAATGTGAATAAAGCATACACATTCCTTTTAAAAATCAGGGAAGAGCCATGGTTGAACAACAGAAAATGCCCACAAGGAGAAATGAGCATTTGTGTATTTATGTATATATGTATGTATCTATCATATATCTATCTGTCTGTCTTTCTGTCTCTCTACTTTTCTATGACATCTGTCAAGTTGACAAATTGATGATAGAAGTTTTGGAGGATAGGTCAGACTTGTAGGTAAGGAGAGGATGTAGGGAGTGTGTAGTCTAGCTCCTTCCTTGTTGCGCCTGAAATAGCCTGTATTGTAGCTTGAGGACGCACTCATTGGTCATCACTTCTGATTGCAACAGTGCTGGGAAGGGTTTGGGTGATGATAACTGAGCACCAGTGAATGGATTAATGCTAGTCTTGTTCCCATGAGACTTAGATTAGTTACCACAGTGTGGGCTGATATAGAGTATACCCCAAACTCATATCCTCTGTGGGTTTGTTTCATTTTAAAGACAAGGTCTCACCATATAGATCAGAATGAATATAGGCCAGGAACTTGCTATGCGGACTAGGCTGGCTCAGACTCACAGAGACCCACCTGCATCTGCCTCCCAAACCTTGGGAATAAAGGTGTGTGCCCCCACACCTGGGTGCCTTGTGTCCTCTGGGTGACATATGAACTGAGCAGATACTGACATTAGGTTCTTGGACTTCCTATCTTCTAGAACCACCAGCCAAAACAAAACTATTTCTTTTTATAAATCGAGTCTTGGGTGTTCTGTTTCAGCAACGGACAAGTGATGATGATGGCCTCTAATATGACCTCTGTGATATTTTCATCCCCATTATTGGATACAAGTCATTTATCCACATGGGATATGGAAGCAAAGAGAAACAGCCTCAAACTGCTGGCAAGAAATGCAGATAATAATGTCCAAAAAAAAAAAAAATCCATCCAGGTGGCAGATGGTCCAAGGACACAATACCAGTTGTCCTTGCAGAGGAAGAAACCCTGGATGTTGGCAATATTGGCATTTGCTATTGCACAAGGCAGTGAATGGGTCCATGGTTGTTCACTCTACACACTGGGTAGGCTTTTTGCAAGACTGGTGTGGTGTTGAAGACCACCATCATCTCAGGGTTAGAACAGAAGTTACCCATTGTCCAAGTAGAACAGGCCTAAAGTTGGCAATACTCCACAAAAGAATAGCATCTGGCCAAGCCAGGGGATGGGGGTGGTTTCATGGCCTGGAATCAGAAGAGACTCTAGAACCATCCAGCTGCATCACCCTGGGGAAGCCCATCTGTCTTCCCACAGCTCAGGCCCCTACTCTGTGACATGGGGTGACTATAGAGCCAGGGCACTTGCAAAATGCTATGTGAGGCATTTATGTGAGGCAGGAAGGTGAAGGCCATAGCTACCCTGCATTTTAATGCTGTCAATCACTTTTGCTCAGTTCTCACAAGGGCCACCCTCCTTTCCTGACCGTCTGAGGTAAGTCATTGCCCCCCCCACCTCTTCTGTGGCAGGTTCGGAAAGTATCCCTGCCAGGGCCTACTCCCTGCTCCTTGCATTCCTTCTCTCTTTTAGGTCACACATGTCCCTGACAATCACTTCCAGACCCTGGACTGTGAACCAGTGAGGATGACTGAGTCTGGCCCTTACCTCCTCTCTGTACCACTCTCTGGTGACACTGACTCCAAATGAAAGTTCATATCATTGATAAAAAACAAAAGTGACTAGAATTTTACTGAATTATCAGCTCCAAGTAGGCAGAATACAGAGCAGTTGAGCTGTGATCTCAGTAAATTTTATACCAAGGAGCCACTTTGGTAAAGAATGAAGACCAGAATGGAATATGGCTCAACGGGTTAAGGGCTTGCCATGTAAACATGAACACCTCATCTCCAGAACACGTGTGGGCATGATGATGCACATGTATAATCCCAGTGCTGGGGAGGTAGAGACAGATGGACCCCTGAAACTCACTGGCCAGTCAGCTTGGTTACTTGGTGAGGTCCAGGCTGAGTAAGATCCTGTCTCATCAAACAAACAAACAAACAAACAAACCCCAAAAGCAGAAAATGTAGATGGTGCCTGAGATAGTACTAGAGTTTGACTTGTGGCCTTTACAGCCATGGGATGACCTGGCTGTATTCTTGGCAATTTATGTTCTTACCCTGGGACCCCAGTCTCCAGTCCTGTAAAGTGCAAGTCAGCCAGCCTACAGCCTACAGGTGATTCTACAGAAAGATCTATTATCCAACATGTTCACTCGTGTGCCTGTTCTGCCCTGAGTCAAGCTGGCACCCCACAGAGTCCGTTGGGCTGGAGAGGGTCCCTGCTGTGATGGGAAATGGCTTTCCAAGGCTTGACTTGAGCAGACCTGACTTTGTGTATGTCACCATGCTACTGCCCTCCTCAGCCATGGCCCTCCATGAGTGGAAACCATGTAGATTCAGGCCTCCAAGGAGTGAGCCATTCACTCATAAATGCCATCACTTTGTTAACCAGTCCATCTTGCACACCTGCTCCTTCTCACAGCAGCTCTCTGAGGGTGAAATCATGGCCATTTCTAGGACCCCAGAAGCCAAGTGGCTCACTGGTCCACCTGGAAAAGCTATCTTCTGAGGCAGGACCCACACTCTACAAGTATTCATTCTCTCACAGAAAATGCTTATTAACCAAATCAGCCCCAATCTTCATCTGAGGACACAGTAGGGTGGCCATTTCTTCATGGGAATTTCCTGGTTTAGCATAGAAGGCTCACATCCCAGGAATCTTTCCATCCTGGGCAAACCAGGACCATTGCTCATGCCAATTCCCATGGTTGACAAAGGATGATATATATGAGAATCTGGGTATCGGGTATGAGTGACTCTTCATCAAACATTTCTATGACTGGGTAAGAAATACTGAGAAGACTGCATTGTAAGTTCATTATTCCCAGAATTTGGCATTTAAGTGGCTCTGAAGCTCACCTGTAGGTTAGAATCAGGAGATTTCTGAACTTTTCCTCTCTTAGGGTGGAGTCAGTCTACTGGAGTTGTATTTTTAAAGTCCCCAGTCACCCTAGAGGTATCACCAGCACAAAGAGCTGATTTGAGGGCCAGCATTCATCCTTCATCTCTACAGTGCTAGTTTTAGCCCCTCTCATTCCAATCACTTCCTCTCCTTGTAGAAGACAGGGAAAAGTCATTTGGAGTACAAAGAAGCTTTGCCAGCTAAAATTGGAGATGGTATCAGTGCTGGGTGTAAAATCTGAAATAACATCAGACAAGTGCAGAAAGAGATATGTACAAGAATGCTAACAGTAGCTTTGATGGTAGTGCAAAAAATTGGAAATAATCCAATTATGTAGATGGAGTGGGAAAGTAAAGTGTGGCAGTTATACTGATAACTAGAATGAACAAGTAAGCTAAAGTGTCCTAACATTGGAACAAAGTGAATATTACTATCTCTCTGTGTATGTATGTATGTATGTATGCATGTACTATGTAATGTATGTATGAGTATGGAGACAGGCTATATCTTGTGGGATTTGGAAGTCTTCATTTTGATGAGGAGCATGCCTCCTAGCAGAGGATTCCAGGGTGCATGCTAATGTCTGTAGCTATAATAAAACCGATAAGGCAGCATGGTAGCCTCTTGCCAGCTGAGAGAGTGTCTTTCTCTGCAGACCCCAGGCTGGGCAGAGCAATCCCAGCACTGGGTTGGGTCACTGTCTCCGTATTAAAGCCCTGCACTACAAACCCAGAACCAGAGTCTTCTTAGTGCAGGCCCCTGCATTGCTCAATAGAAGGTACAAAGCTGGGCACTGTGTCCTCATCCATCATCCCTCCCTCCCAGTGTCCACAGGGAGCAAGGACTCCATTAGGAATGTAGGTGTGATAGGAAAGCTATGCATGCAAGCTTGTTAATCTTGTTGGCAGTTCTAGGTTTCTGACAGATGCTTCATTTTAAGAAGGGCCAAGAGCTTACCTGGTCCTAGTTTGGCCACGGCATAAAGGAGGTCATAGTTGAGGACTGGTGTGGCATCACTGATGGGCTTCCAGCCAACAGGAGGAGATGAAGGAGGCGAGATGAGGAACTGTTTGGCAGGCTGTGGGGGTGCCAAATGCAGTTTGTCTCCATCTGTCTCAGGTGTCTGGACCTTTCAAACAGAGAAGAACGAGACATGTGATCTTCCAGGCCTTCAGCTGGGCAGGGCTTCACTGATGGCCAGACTTCAGCGGCAATCCCTCCTTACCGCACACCCGGTGCTCATTGTCTGATTCAGTATTGAAAACAGTGGTTTCCAGTTTTTTGATAAGCACCAGGGTCACCTCGAAGACTTCTAAAACGTGTTGCTGAGCCCAACCCCAGCACTATGCTGTGTGCTCTTATGAGTGTGGGGACATGATGTCCTTCCTCAGGTACCATCTCCCTCCCTGCCTCTGTTTTGCTTTTCATTTATCTGTTTCAATTGCACACTGCTGCAACTCTACTGAGCTCCTAACCCAGTGGTTCCCAACCTGTGACTTGCAAAAATGTAATATATTTCCATTATAATTCATAACAGTGGCAAAATTACAGTTATGAAGTAGCAAGGAAAATAACTTTATGGTTGGAAGACATCAAAACATGAGGAACTGTATTAGGAAAGCTGAGAACCATGGTTTTGACCCTTCCCAAAACCCTGTGCACCCCTTAAATAAAGACTACCCCTGTAGTATCCTACTACCCCTTGATGGTTGTGAAGCTGTGTCTATTCTGGGGACTTACCTATTTCATGAGACTGGAACCACAGAGAAGGTGAGCTTTGGTGTCTAGCATCCCATCACATTTAAAGGCTTTAGTGATGGATTATCAATAGTTCTTTTTGCAGCGGAATAATATTTCTCTGTATGAACATACCACCATCTCTTTATCCCTTTATGAGTTGAATAACATTAGGTTGCTCTCACTTTTGACTTATTGTGAACAATGCTTCTAAGAATATTGTTGCCTAAGTATTTGTTTGAGTTCCCTGTTTTCAGTACCTAGGAGAGTATTGCCAAGTCACATGGTAACTCAATATTATCTTTTAATGGAACCTAATCTATCATATACTGCACGCACACATATATACATATACATACACACACATAGAGTCTTTTTGTTTTGAGATAGGGTTTCACTGTGTAGCTCAGGGTGGCCTTGAATACAAGGTCTTCCCCCCTCAGGCTCTAACATACTGGGATTACAGGAATGAATCATTACATCTGACCCTGATGCAGATTTTAATAAATGATGCTCTGAGATCTGTCCTAGCTACAGGAATTTGTAAGAGATGTCGGGTTTTAGCAGGAGTCTGAGGCTGATGCCTGGGATCTTTCTGCTGTGCTGTGTTTGTGTGGTCCAATATCGGAACCCCACTCACGGATCATCCGAGAGGTGACTATTGCCTACTGATGGATGAGGCCTTGATGGAGATAATGGATACTGATTGTCTAGTGTTGTGGACCTCGTGAATATCCCCAAGAACTACCTATCCTTATTTAGCATATTTAGCGCATTTGGTTTTGCAAAGCATAAAATTAATTTTCATAGATTTATAAGCCTTTGTCACGAATCTGAATCATTAATAAATCATAGTTTTAGCCGACCATCAAACCTATCATTTAAATTTTAATCATAACCCTTTCTAGGAAGGTTAGGAGTCACTGTGGTGAGAGATTTTCCACTGCAGCTCCTAGCTGGAATTTACTGTGCCTTTACCAGAATCCTGGCACTGCTGTGCACAGTCTTCCATGTCATCGTTCCATCTTGTAGATGAAGACTCTGAGTCCCAGTGAGCTTCTCTGACTCGTCCTGGTTACAGTCCTTGTCCTCAGACACAGACACTGCTCAATCTGTGACTGATGACCTCTTGTTTTAAAAACTTAACTGGTTGAGAATTTCATACATGTATAAATGTATTTTCATCACATTTGTCGCCACTCCTCTCCCCTTCCAACCTCATGTTCTTTATGTTTTCATAGCCTCTGAGTCTAATTGGTGCTGTCCATGGGTGTGGGACCATATCTACCTGAACATGGTCAACCTACCAGAGGCCACACCCGCAAGGAAACTGCCTCCTCTCCTAGCAGTCATCAACTGCTGAAAACACCTCAGTTGGAGGTGGGGTCCACCACCTTATGGTCCCCAGGCTCCTCCATGCTGGAATGTTGGCTGGCTTATCTTGTACAGGTATTAACACAACCAATGAATTTCTTTCTTTGTGAATTAATTATAACAGTAAACCAATTCATGCATGTACGGTGCCTGTGGCCAGAAGAAGCCACTGGATCCCCAGGAACTGGGGTTACAGACAGAGCTGAGAATCCTTGTCCTAATCCTAGAGAACCCTAGTCCTCTGGAAGAGCAGCCAATACTCTTAGTTGCTGGACTATCTCTCCAGGTCCGCATTTACATTTTAATCTATTGATTTTTAAATGAACACTGGCTTTTTAAATTTTTATTTTGTGTACACGAATGCTTTATTCACATTTACATATATGTACCATGTGTGTGCCTTCTGACCCCATGCTAAGGGGTCAGAAGATGGCACCAGATGTTTGTGGACCACTATGTGGTGCTTAGAATCAGACCTGTTTCTTCTGCAAAGGCAACAAGTGCTCCAAACCTCTTGGCCAAAACAGCAGGGTGAAAAGTTACCTGTGCAAAATAGAGTTTTAGTTTCTTCCCTCGGAACTGGGTCTCATGAAGCTCTATCCGTGCGCGGGCTGCAGATTTGGGGTGGCTGAAATTTATTCGGACACGTCGGAAACTTTTAAACAGCTGGAACGTCACACATTCATCGTAAGTCCGGAACAGTCCCTCAAATTTTTCCTGATAAAAACAAACAGAGAAAGAAATCTATTGGTCATGGGTCTTATATGATGCCATGTGGCAAAAGCAGGTAACCTTCCTTGGTAGGCTGTTGAAAACAGAAAGTTAAAACAAGGCACAGTGGCCAGGCACAACAGTTTCCTTAGCCTGGATAGCCAAGCGAAAGAGAAGCAATGTTTTCCATACACCTACCCCAGCCTGTAGCCAACTTTGTTGTGGCATAGAAAAAAAATCAACCAACCTTTATTGCATTAAACTGCCATGGTTTTGATTTTTTTAAACCTCCTGCATTATAGCCAAGATGCCATAATACAAAGCAGCAATTTAAAAAGTTTGATTCGATTCACAATTTTAATTCAACTGAAAAACACCCGTTACATGTTCACTTGGTACAAGGCTTGGTCTCTCCTTAGGTTTTAGAAAGGTACAGAGATCGGGGTCATTTTGTTCTGATGTATGGTTGTCTAAAAATTTAACATGAGAGGTCAACACAGACACAAATAAGAGAACACCCAAAAGAGAGGGATAAAGGAAGAATAAAAGGAAAAAATCATAGAACTAAACACATGTGTATACAAAATTAACACCATCTATTGAGTTCTTCCTAGCCTAAAGCCAGTGTATTAAGCACTGTATATTCTTACTAGACAAATGGGTCTTAAGAGAGTAATTTCTTTTTTTAAAGATTTATTTATTATATATACAGTGTTCTGTCTGTATGTATGCCTGAATGCCGATCTCATTATAGATGATTGTGAGCTATCATGTGGTTGCTGGGAATTGAACTCAGGACCTTTGGAAGACCAACTAGTGTTCTTAACCACTAAGCCATCTCTCCAGCCCAAGAGAGTAATTTCTATAATTAAAAGTTCCTGATTTTTAAATTCCAATAGTCAACAGTATTTTGTCACAACAAGTAGAAGAGTAAATGCCTGAACAACTTAACAATGGATTCTTCATAGAATCCATTGAAGTCATAGAAGTGTGTGTGTGTGTGTGTGTGTGTGTGTGTGTGTGGTGTAAGTATGCCAGTGAGTTGTGCACAGGTCAGGACCATAGGTTGATGCTCAGTGTCTTTCTTAATGCCTCTCCACTTCAGTTTTTGAAGCACAATCTCTCAGTCAACTGGAGCTCATCATTTCAGCTAGACTAGCTGGGCAATGAGCTCTATGATCCACTTGTCCCTGCCCCACCCCAAGCACAGGGGTTATAGCCACATGCCACCATCTCTAGCCTTTAATCGGGCTCTAAAGATTCCCTACCTTATTTACTAAACCATCTCTCTAGTCCAAGGCTCATAGAATTTTAACCTGATGAATGATGAATTTACCCTTTTCCCTCCTCACTGGCGTTCTTTTACAATTTGATATTTCTGGCTCACTCAGTAAGTCAAGACTGCTGAAAGTCCCTAGGACCCTGGCTATGGACTCTGGCTACAAATAATTGCACTACTAGAATGAAGGGAAGAAATCTGTTAGCATAAGCCAGTGTAGGATAGCTATAAAAATGACCCTGGGTTAAAGTTGTGACCAAATGAAAGAGCAATATATGATGTGAGGTTTGGAACCTATGAGTCCTCTGGCTTTTTAGACTAGACCTCTGCTGTCAGGGAAGGGTTTCCTGTCTTTCTGGCTCTAGAAGATTTCATCTCAGCCTGTCATGTACATGGCTCAGGTAGCACCCCAGGCTGAATCCACCTTAGCTCTTTCCATGCTTGACTCCCATGCCTGATGACACTTTCTCTTGAATGTGAAATACGTCATTCCATTCCAATAGCCCAGAGCATCTACCCAAAGCTTTGGCTCCTTTTGCTTCTTTATTCTTAAAGACTCAAACCAAGCATTTTTCCTTGACATAGAATAAAAATTTTTCCCCTCACCTTTCAAGTTTTGGGATAAACCAGCCAGCCCTAAAATCTGGGCCTTTAGCTACCTCTCCAAGGAGCTCATTAAGAAATTCTTTCTCTCAGTCCTGTGTCTTCCTAGATAGGAATTCTGATATTTAGCACCCACCACATGTCACCCCCTGCACAGTGCAAATGTCTGAGCTGATCAAAACTCAGCCAGTGGTTTGATTAGCTATGTGAGTTCTCAGGAATGAGGGGGGTTAAGATGTTAAAATTCTCATTTTATATTTAGCATGTGTTTTAGGGCAAAATTCTTGAGTCATGTTTCTGGGTCACTTATCTTCCTAATAGGGAGGATCCACCTCCCCATCTCCTCTCCAGGGTCTGAAAATGAGCAGCTAAGGCTGACTAGTGGGGGCCAGGTTTTGTCCCCTATTGAGTATCCCCTCCTTTCTCCTCTTTCTTTCTTTCTTTCTTTCTTTCTTTCTTTCTTTCTTTTTCTTCTTCTTCTTCTTCTTCTTCTTCTTCTTCTTCTTCTTCTTCTTCTTCTTCTTCTTCTTCTTCCTCTTTCTCCTCCTCCTCTTCCTCCCCCTCCTCCTCCTCCTTCTTCATTTTTAATACAATGCTAATCAGTTTGAGCTGCTGACCTCAAGTACTCATGTTAGACAAAAGCAGTCAATGAGCTGGGCAAGAGCTCTAGGAAAATGGCCCCTCTTCTGTCCATGTTGAAAAGCCTTGGCCATCCAGCAGCACTAGAATTGTTCTTTGTACTGATCTTTGACAGATGCTTCCATACCATTGTTGCTGGTCCTAGGTCATTTCTGTTATTATGACAAAATATCCTGACAAAAGATAAGAAACTAAGGAAGTAAATGGCTTATTTGGATGATAACTCCAAGTTACAGCCCATCATTTGGGAGGTCAATGCAGGAACCAAGCAGCTAGTCACAGACATCCACTCTCAGGAGCAGAGAGAAATGAAGGTACCCATGGTTTTGCTTGCTTATTTAGTTAACTTTCACTCTTGCATAGTTAAGGACCCAGCCTAGGGCATGATGCCACAAAAGGAGCTCTTGACACCCTTACTTGGAGATCCAGCTCAGTGCTCAGGGGCCAGCGTCTCCATTGGACCATATGAGGCTATATGCCTGGGGTGATGCTAATACATATCTACCATGTGTTTGGAAGGCACCCTCTACAAGTTTTCATGAGCTTGCAGTAGGGGTGAGTGGGATCTAGTTAAGAATGGGGGTTTTCCATTAGTGACACTATAAGTATTCATGTTTTGAGGCAACAAACAGTATACATGACAATTTGGCTAGAGAAAGACCATATTGAGTCTATCAGTATATCCATAGATAAAACAATTACATAGAAAGATCAGCTGCTCCACCACAGCAAATCTATTACTGCATTGATGCTCAGTATCCATCAAGTGCATAGTCAAATATGCCTCTCCACCTGACAGTTTTCTCCATTGTGGAACCCCTCACATTTGGCTGTGAGGTCTTCCTATAGCTTCTGGTCTGTGCTATTCTATGGTGGCTCTCTCTAATGTTTGGTCTTAGGATGCACACTCTCAGAAATTATTGAAGAGCCTAAAGAGCTTTTATAGTGCAGATTCCCTCTCTTAATATTTACTGTACCAGAAATAAAACAGAAGTTTGAAAGTACTTTCTTGCAAATGCATTCCCAAGTAAGAGTAAGACATAGGTTATGTGTTAACATAACCTTATTATGGGAAATTTCTGTTTTCAGAAAAGTGGCATGATATGGCCAGAAGATTGCCATCTCACCTTTAATCTTCCATCTATTTCCAGTGCACTAGCTGCTGTCACTCATGGTATGACGTAGTATGGGAAAAGTGTGGATTATGGGAATAACCTCTCAGGAATGTAACTGTTCTTCCTTGATAGGGCACCACTTGGCAAGGGGTCACTCCTGAAGATTATGGCAGCTCAGAAATCTGAAGCCACAACCAAATATCACTTTAGCTATATTGAGGCTCATTGATATAGTTTTTTACTTTTGGTGGAGTTTATTGTTAACCCCTGCATGATTTTATAATAGTGGACATTGCCATTCGTAAAATAGCTTCTCTAAGTTACATGGCCTTACAAAACAATCAGCGTAATCACACAATATTAAAATGGCAATCAATAATATTGATGACCAAAAGGGTCTGGTGGATAAAATTTTTCCCAAATTAATTTTGGCTTTAAAGCTTGTGGTTTACCATTGGCAACACACATGGCAGCTATTAAAGAATGGTGTGTGTGTGTGTGTGTGTGTGTGTGTGTGTGTGTGTGTGTGTGGGTTGGTGTGTGTGTATGCTAATAGAGGCCAGAAGAGGCCATTGAATCACCTGGAGCTGGTGCTACAACTGATGAACCACTGAAATGGGCACTAAGAACAAAACTGGACTCCTCTGCAGGAGCTATACAACCCCTGACTATGCTCAGCCCAGGAGGGTTTTCCATTTTCACAGTTAGCGCACAAAGTAGTGGGCTTCATTACAGCATTGCACCCATGTTATTACACTGTGTTCTTCTTCATCCCTCCCGCTGTGCCAACACTCAACCCTGTCCTCCTTTCCCAATGCTGCCTTCCTCTACACCAAAGGTTCCCCTCTTCTACTTACTCCCAGAGGACACGTCTTTTATTACATGGAACACATTGCATTTTGTGTTTTCTACCCTTTGATAGATTTGAGGTTTTTTTATTTTTATAATATTTTGTTTTGTTTTTCAAGACAGGGTTTCTCTGTGTAGCTTTGGAGCCTATCCTGGCACTCGCTCTGGAGACCAGGCTGGCCTCGAACTCACAGAGATCCTCCTGCCTCTGCCTCCCGAGTGCTGGGATTAAAGGTGTGCGCCACCACTACCCAGCTATATTTGGTTTTTGTAAGTGTAGCCTGTGTACTTAGCTCTTTACTTGAGGGATCTTAATGTAAGTTTTCTTTCTTTAAATTTGTGTAGTCTAACAATTTCATATATGTATAGTATCTTGATCAAATTCACCCCCAATTCCCTCCCCTCCAATTCATCCCTCATTTTTCCCTACTTGTCCTTCACAACTTCATGTGCCCATTCTAAAAGATTTACTTGTATTTTGCATGTATAAGCATTTATGTTTATGATGATGATGCACAGTA